GGGGGGGGAACGAAGGCAACGATCAAGAGGGGTTGGAGAGATATCAGCCTCTCTCTGTTACGAATTAAACGTGCGGGAAGGAGGGAGAGAGGGAGGGAACTCGTTCCAAGTTTTAGTCGCAGTTTTAGTTGATGTGACGGAATCAGATTTCGATTTCCATCCACCGTGAAATAACTGGCGCGGTGGGGGGAAGGGTCGGACCCAATTCGAAATTTTAATTCGTTGGCCAGTGAGGGGGAGGAGGAGGAAGGATCGAATTGAGGATTCGACCTGGATTCTCAATTCGATCCATAGTTTAAAAATATTTCATAATTTTGTAATTGAGATTAATATATATAGATATCATATTATCAAATAAGCTTTTCTTAAAATCAAAATTTTCGAATTAGAATATTCCTAAGATAAAATAATATACTTTCAAATACTTTTACGAACCATTGTGAATGAGAAATTTTGTAATTGAAATTAATATATATAGAGGTCATATTATCAAATAAGCTTTTCTTAAAATCAAAATTTTCGAATTACAATTGAATTTTCCTAAGATAAAATAATATACTTTCAAATACTTTTATGAACCATTGTGAATGAGAAATTTTGTAATTGAGATTTTGTAATTTTGTAATTAATATATATAGAGATCATATTATCAAATACTCTTTTCTTAAAATTGAATTTTCCTAATACAAAATAATATACGTTTAAATACTTTAACGAACCACTGTGAGTATGATTTGTTTTTATTATAGAAAATCAGAAATATGTATTCTGGTATCAAATTTTGTAATTGAGATTAATATATATAGAGATCATATTATCAAATAAATTTTTCTTAAAATTGAATTTTCCTAAGATAAAATAATATATTATAATTATATTATAATATAATTTAATATAATAATATAATATTATAATTATAATATAATAATTTCAAATACTTTTACCAACCACTGTGAGTATGACTTTTTTTTTTATTATAAAAAATCAGAAATATGTATTCGCTAGCATCGAATAATAATGCTTGAAATTAGCAATAAGAAGATTCTTTAAAATACGAATATTCCTTTTTAACATTATACAATTTCGATTCGGCGGACTCCCCTCCACCTCTCCCTGTGTTAAACGGATCCAACGGAATTTCATGTTCAATTTGTGCCAATTTCGCGGCAACGTTGCGCTTGTATAATACCTCGTCGACTCGAAATATCAATTATTACACGCTTCTCCAGACGATCGAAAGTATCTTCTCTCCCTCCCCATTCGAACCTCGGCTACTCGTTCAAAGGTACAATCACCCACGTTCTCCTCGATACTCGATACGCCCATAGGGAATTCGCTTATCGCGCGCCACAAAAATCCCCATTTTTCCCCCGCGATCGCGATTTTCCCCTCGTTCCACGGCCCCAGAACGGCGATAAACAAATTTTATCATTTAATCATTTGACGCACAGGGGTCAAAACGAGCGAGACGAGGTGAAATAAATTTAATCGGTAACAAATCGCGGCTGTGTATTTGGCATCGATTATGCAAAATAATTCGAAGCATCGAAATAAAATATAAGTTAATTCTTCTAATTTTTCTACTTTCGAGATTAATAGACGAGACGTACGAGGATATGAGCATCTTTGGAAAGCAAAATAGACGCAAAGGTTGTTTAATTGGATAAGCTTTAATCGATATTTTTGTATGGAAATTTTTCTTTTGAACTTTGGAATTGATCTATTGAAGATATCCCTATATTAAGTGATACTATATGTTACTATATATTAAGTAATATTCTGTATATATTTGGAATTTAATGTAATATATGTAATGTATATTTTAATTTAACTTACAAGATACTAAGATCTTTATGATACGATTCTTCCAATATCTTTCAAAAAGATATATACTTAGTCACAAATACTTTACTTTAGTTCATACTATACTTTACTTTTAGTCACAATACTTTAGCACAAATACTTAGTCGTTCATTCATTGCTTGAAAATAAACAATATTGATAAAGAATTATTAAGTATATTTCGATAAATGATCTAGAAGAGAAATTAGAATTTCCTGTAAAAAAAAAATCCAACACTTCGATTATCTTCTAATTTTTCTATTTTCAATTGATTAATTGAACGAGACGTACAGGCATTTTTACAAAATAGACGCAAAAGTTGTTTAATTGCTTTAATCGATATTTTTGTATGGAAATTTTTCTTTTGAACTTTAGAATTGATCCATTGAAGATTCTATATATTTGGAATTTAATATATGTAATGTATATTTTAATTTAACTTACAAAATACGAATATCTTTACGGCGAATACGATTCTTCCAATATCTTTCAAAA